TATTTCAATAATTGCTGTTCTAGAGTTCAAGGGAGTTTTATAAATGTGAATTCTGTTTCTCAACCTTGAGGACTGCCGCAGAAAGATGAGACTGTCAAGCTGGCCCTGGGGGTGTCGGCATTCCCCAGGGGACACGTTCACGAAGCATGTACTGTCATTTTCACCCTGCCTGCCTGGAATGCCGATAAGGCATAAACTTCATTCGTCAAGGAAACTTATCAAATAAGTAACAGGAAACGTTAGTTCAGGGCACATGACCCTGGTGAGACTTTGATGTGGTCTTTAACAGGTGAATGCTGGAAATCTACATCAATCGTGGGGGGCTGCGTACTCCAGGTGTGACAAAGCTGCAGTTTCTGCTGACGTACAGGAAGTGTTACCCAGGTTCTAATCTCTACTAATTCCGCTTCGCTTGCAGTTCCTTTCATTTTAAATAACTGTGGTTTTTAAAAACTGGAGAGGCCTAAGGATATGGGGAGAGCAGAAGTGATATTTTTCACTGTCTGTGTTTCCTGAGAGAAAGTAATGTTGCATCTTCAAAACAACAGCTGTCAGAATGATTTTCATCAGATTAAATAAATCCTCAAAGCCGCGATCACAGTTTCTTAGAATCTTGGAAATGTGGGTTATGCTTTGCATGGAAACCTAATGGAATTTAAAATACACGTGTTTTTGCAAACATAGCTTTGCAAGCAGACTCTTTACCAGGGTTTCTTGTTTGTGAATTTTGGTTTAAGCTACCACAGCTCAAGGAGTTTAGAAAGAGTTTTTACTATATAAATGTAACAAACAAACGTTTACCAGTGTGAGATGCTATTAACTGTCTATGGAACAGAGCAGCGGGCTCAGGGCCCTTTGGCCAAGCCTGACAGAGACCCGCCCGGCAGCACGCGTCCGCCAGGGTGAGAGCGGTGCGAGAGCAGCATCACTGTCAGGTGTCCCACGAGAGGCCGGCCTCCTGTCTCCTCCTCACAGGGGGCTGCCCTCTGCCCTCCCCATTGATTGTGGCCTTTTCAGTTTTAGAAAAGAGAAGGCTTTGGGGGCGGCGGGGGGGGAGAGTTTGTGTCATAAAAACCTTGAATGAATGATCGATACAGATTGATATTCATTATTTCTTGATGCAAAGGGGCTTATTCTTGAAATTACTTGCTAAATCTAAACCACAGTGAGATGCCACTTCACATGCATTAGACGAGAACAAAGGTTGGTGAGGATGTGAGGTGTTGGAACCCTGTGCGTGGCTGGTGGGAATCTGAAACGGTGGGACTTCTGTGAACATCCATATGGCGGCTCCTCAGATTCAACATAGAATTAACACACGGCCCAGCAATTCCACTTCTGAGTGTCCACACGGACGAATTGAAGGCAGGGTCTCAAACAGAATCTGGTACATCCATGTTCATAGCATCATTAATCACCATAGTCGAAAGGCAGAAACAACTCAAGTGCCCATCAGCAGATGAATGGATAAACAAAATGTGCTCTATCCACACAATGACATGTTACTCAGCCTTGAAAAAGCAAGGAAGTTCTGACATGTGCTCCAATGTGGATGAACCTTGAAGACATTATGCCCAGTGAAATAAGCCAGACACAAGAGGAAAACTTACAGGAGGTACTAGATGAGTTGAATTCTCAGGACAGATTGCAGAACGGCAGTTACTAGGATTTAGGGGAAGGGAGAATGAGAAGTTCCCATTTATTCAATAGAGTTGCTGTTGAGGATGATGAAAAAATCCTGGAAATGGATCATGGCGATGGTTGTATACTAATGTGCATGTACTTAATGGCACTGAATTGTCCAATTAAAAATGGCTTAAAAGGTACATTTTTTTTAAAGTGTTAATTTGTTGCTGAGCTAGCTGGGGTTTTGAAGCAAACTTGGACTCTGTCGGAGAGCTGTTCGCCAGAACTGACACGGGCTGGAGTCTCCCCGCTAGCCTAGGCAAGACCAGGCAGGTGCAGCACAAGTCTTCGGTGTTTTAAAAACAAAACCAACCAAAAAAGTGCACTCATGCAGCAAGAACCTCTTCTCCCACATGCTGGATCCGCAGGGCTTTCTCCTTTACTCTGAGCCCAGCAGGCTTTCCTTGGATACACTGTTCCTTATGAGCAGAATCCAAAAGGCCCTCAAAACTCAACAGCTTAAGTCCTGATAGTCAGAGTGTGGGGGCCTCTGTAAGAATGGGGTTAGCGAGGAGAGTCGTCTTCACGTGCCATGTGGGCCCCTAGCTCTGCCCCTCAGCCTCTGACTCCCCTTAGGGAATGAGCTGAGGTTGGGGCGGGGGGGGGTCCTCCTTTAGCCCCGGAGTCCAGTGTCCATAGCTGTTTAGCAGCCATGCTGTGACAGTCTCCTTGAGGGGCTTGTTTGAGGGGAGACGCTAAAATGGGTGCCAGGAAAATCAGTTGGCAGAAGTGAGGCTGCAGCTTCCGCCTGCATTTTCTGACGTCCCGGCTGCAGCACGGCCCCTGTGACCTCTCATCCTAACCACCCATGCATGCCTTTCCCAAGACACACTCGAGTCAAGGCCTAGAACCCAGCCTTGTCATGCTGAACGTAGCAGACACCCAGGGCCAGAGTGCAAAGGGTCACCTCTGAGACCTGGGAGGCCATTGGGTGTAAGTGTGGGGCCCCGTGATGGGGCTCTGAGGTCTGGAGACCCTTCCGCCATGCACACAAGGAACAGGTGCAGGGAACAGACCACTCACTAGGTGGCTGCTGCGGGCTGTCATTCTGCCTGTGACAGAGCCACCACCTCCTCTCCAGCTGACAGACGCGCCACCTCCTTGGAGCATTATCTGCTGATTGAGTTACAATTTTTGTATAGTTCTGTTCTGTGCACAGATGTGTGTGTGTTATACACATAGAGCTACTTTTAACCTTTTTTTTTTTTTTGCTTGTCTGCTTTTCAACAGTACATGGAATGTATATATGTGGAGAGAGACGGCAAAGATATATATTTATATACGTGTGTGTGTGCGCGCGCGTGCGTGCGTGCGTGCGTGCATAGGTATAAAAGGGCCCGCGCTTCCTCAGCTGCCCTTTGGGGCTCACAGGGGCGGAGGAGCTCATCTCCTCGACTGTGTGTCTCCTCTGACTACAGTCACTCTCTGTGGGTGACTCTCTCCTCAGGTTCTTGCTGGCAGGGAGGGAGCGTCTCTGTTTCTGCCTTCAGAGCCTTGACTCAGGTTGCACACCCAATAGGAAGTGGAGGTGACGGAAGCAGTCCCGCACTCATGGCACCTGCAGATGGCCTGACTCTATTGGAAGGTGACACTGCAGAATTCGTTATCAGAACAAACCATCCCTATTTCAGACTCTTCAGAGGAACATTCAACAGTTAAGAAACTTTCGTGCTGCCATTTCCATATTTCTTTCCAAAAAAGTGAGACTCCAGAGCACGGTTTCCAAGCTTTGGATGCGAACCCCTCGGCTGCGAACACCCTGCGGGCCGCCCGGGGGCGGCGTGAGCACTCGTGCAGGTGTGCTTGGATTCAAACAGACCCAGACACGCTACGGAGGGGTTCACACTTGCGCTGAGCTTACTCATCTCTGCCGGGCTATTGGTCCTGTGACCAGTTCATGTGTGTGGTAAAAGAGAAAGAATCCAAGTCAGCTAATCATGCAACAAAAGCTAAAGAAGGCCACGGCCGTGTGGGGACATTTCTGTACTGCTTAGTAAGACTTGAAGTTTCTTCACCTCTTGGAGTAACAGAAATTACTTGGGGGAATTTTGGGTGTTTGTGCTAAACTCTTCGGGACTTAAACGGTAAACTTTCTGAACACGGGGACTTTTGCCTGAAGCAACACTAAACTAAGATGAGCGGCTTCCTTCAAAGGGCCCGGAAGCCAAGCTGGTGGGAGGCAAGCTGGCGGCTCACGGGTGGGTTCCGCTGTCTGCCCAGCAAGACCGGCCGGGAGCAAATCTCGCCTCTCCTTGAGCTGCCCCCAACCACACTCTCCCTGCTGGACTCACCTCCTCATCACCTGTCGCTCCCAGGTTTCTTTTTCCCTGTTCAAGCCATTTTGGAGGTGTGTGCACCTGTGTACTACCTGGAACCATGTTCTGATATTTTAAAACTATGACATGTGCAGCCATTTAAAAATGCATAAAAGAGCATACAATAACATGCACGTATGCTCACTGTACCCAAAGTACAGAAAGCAGATTACAAAACAATATGGCTCTTTTTGTAAGAAAAGCAAAAGAAATTTAATAAGACAAAAGTGCCTACCTGTCCATAGAAAGACTGGAAGGGTAGCCAACATGTTAGCAGTGATTATCTCCAGGCGGTAGAATTACAAGTGCTTCTAACGTGTCTTGGTTTCTCTGCTTCTCAGTAATAAGAATGTATTACTTTGGTCCTATAGTCCATCCCCTCAGTTTTGGTGACAGTGGGTGAGCTCAGTATGATAAAAGACATCAAAAATGACAATAGCTTCAGAAGGACCTTGCATTTCCACTCCTTGGGGTCCCACAGGGGCCAGGAGCTTTGCACTGGCTCTGAATCTCACCCGCTAGAAGCTGCTGGAAGCCACAGGCTCCACGAGGACTGTGGAAGGGGACCCTCAGCCTACAGGACAGGGAGCTTCTGAGAGTCTCTGGGTTCATCCAGTGTGTCCCTGCTCTCCTGCTTCAAGAAGCAACTATATCTATAATCTCCCAAAACCAAAACCACTGGGCTTGCCCATAGTTACAAATTGAGGATGAACCAAAGAACAAAAATAAAAAGAAAGTGCTTTCTGGCAACTCACCTGCTGTTTGCTACAATCTATTCCCTGAACTCACCTCAGGAGAAGGACCCCACAGGTGTCCTGAGCCCAGGTGGTGGCTGTGACGAAATAAGAGGAAGAGGTTACCTACCTGCTTCCACCTCCCTCCTCAGCCTCTGCTTCTTTCCCTCCTGTGAAAGCAGCCTCCTCCTCCTCCTCATCGCCTGCCACAGCCCCCTGTTGTGAGCTGTTCGGCTAAATCATGTTTTCCCTTCTTGTCTTGCAGTCCGCCTAAACCCACCGTGTTCATCTCCGGTGTGATCGCCCGGGTAAGCGCCTTCCTCAAACGGGGCCTCGGAACGTGATCTTTCAGTTCCTTCTGTCTTTGTTAAATGCCATTCTTCTACCAGCGTCCAGTGGCGCTTTGTCGCCTCCTGTCCGTGGAGCGTACAGTGAGGCATTAGGAACAGTGACTGCGTGGAGCGCACAGCAGGAGCAGGCACAGCCACCTCTCCTCCCTCGCCTGCCTCCCTTTGCTTCAGTCACAGCTACCCACGGGCCGAGTGCTGCTGGGAGACCTGTGAGCTGAGGATGCTTTTACATTTTAAATGGTTGCAAAATTTGAAATAAGAATTCTGTGTCGTGGCACATGAAAATTATATGCAGTTCAGATTCCAGTGTCCATGGATAAAGTTTTTGTGGCACACAGCCACACCCATCATACATGCATCGTCCATGGCTGAGCCAAGTAGTTGAGGCAGAGAATACAGCTCAAAAACCTAAAATATATACTATCTGACGTGTTACAGAAAATACTTGCCAACCCCTGGACTAAACTCACGGGTTTTAGACACACCCTTTACATTTCAAGAGCCCTCTCTTCTGGTAGAGACCCAGCAATTTGTAACTACAGGCCTCTCACCAGCTCACTCCCACTTTGAGGACACAGCAACATCATCCACAGTTCCATGGCTCACAGTACATCTGAGCACTTCGCACATGATGTATAAAGAAAATACCATTGCCAGGGACAGCTCACCACAGCCGTCCAGAGACACTGGGACAGACAAGTGACACATCTGCCACGTGAGAAAATTAAACGCAGACACCAGTTCAAGGTGAAATATGGTCAGCTGGCTCAGCCAGAGCAGCATCCATGGCTCCAGCCTGCCCCGGTCACACAGGCTCAGCCGGCATGAGAGGGTGATTCTCATGTGTGAGGTAAACAGCTGGGCACCTCCTCCGAGACTCAACAGGCCGAGGCAGGTGCTCTCCCACACTCCTCAGCCCTGCCCCGCATGTTTCCCTCCTGGCTCCCAGTTGTGGTGGCAGATCTGAAGTTAACACCCTGGATTTGGTTCTATCTGGCCCCCAGTTCAAAAGATTACAAGAACAGTCCTAGCAGAAGTAAGACTCCCAAACACAGTTCCCGGTGTGAGACGGCGAGCATTCTCACATTCTGGGTGCTGCGTGGGCCTCAGTGGCTCTTCAGCTCCCTTGAGAGCTTCGGGACCCCCACAGCCCAGGGGACAGGCTTCTGCCTGCCCACAGGTCCCCATTCCATCACCTGTGCCGCAGGGACACGGTGGGCACTGGGTTGGGGCTTTGCTCCTACACGAACCCCGCTATTCAGTGTTGATGAACCCATGCCTTCGTTCTCTGTCTCCTACAGGGCGACAAAGACTTCCCGCCAGCGGCTGCCCAGGTGGCTCACCAGAAGCCCCACGCCTCCATAGACAAGCATATGTCCCCGAGAACCCAGCACATCCAGCAGCCTCGCAAGTGACCGGCGAGGACCCAGCGCCCTCCCAAGCCGTGCCTGGTTTCCCAACATTTGGTATTTCCCCAGCAAAGAGAACTGCATTTTCTTCAAAACACAGCTCCACTGGGAAATCTAAGGCAAAGCAAAACTCCCTTCCTTTGCCTTACATTTCTGTATCGAAAGCTAGAAACAGACCCCAAACCTTGTTTCCAGGGAGTCCTGGTTGGTGTCTGAGAATCACTGTGCCATTAGCAGAGCTCGCCGAGCCCTGAGCAAAATGAAGTTGCTCAGAGTTTAGCTTTAGCTCTGTCTCAGCAATTGACTAAAATTCCTGCCTGTGGTCTCAAAAACAAGAGGGCACAAATTTGGGAGGATTGGATTAAGATTAGGGGGAAAGCTCAATCATTTCATGGTTTTCAATTCTAAGACAATACAGTCCTAATCCCAGAGGGAGCCTAAGAAAGGGGAGTGTTAATTGTGGGGGGTGGGGCACTCCAAGAGGCAAAGCTGGGAAGACTGGAAACAGACCACAGCCACCCTGACTGTCACTCCCTGTGTGACGAGGGGCCCCTGTGCAGGGCGGCGCCAGTCCCGGGAGAACCAAAGAAAACCTTGAATCATTGAAATGGCTCATTTATCCCACGAGTCTTCTTGCTGAAAAATTAGAATGTAGGTCGTTTGCCCAAAGGTAGTGCTTCTGGGATGAGGTCTCAGCGAGGGTCCAGCACTGCCTCACAGGCAAGACAGGCTTTGCCAGAGGAAGGAGGCAAACCTGCACTTTTCAGTACACGCCTCTAGAGCTGTTCCGAGTTCTGGAAGTGATCACTGACCAGGTGGAGGCACAGACGTATAGCTAATTCGGGAACACGACAGCAAGAGCACAGAATGCGTAGAAAGGATTGAATGCGTAGAGAACCAGACGAAAACTTGCCCTTTGTCGCTAAAGGGAGAAATAGCAATACCCCATTCCATTTGAGCTAGAAAATCCTGTTTGTCAACCCGTCCAGCTGTCCAGAATTCCTTTTGCCTGAGTGCACGTTCTCCAGGGCCCACATTCACCTGGGCACGGCAGAGCGTCCTGCCTTCTGCACGTGTTTCCTGCCCGGAGCCGCCCTGGCCGGCTCTCTGGCTCACAGCTGTGGAGTGCCCTGCTTTTCTGAAGAGCCAAAGGGCTCCTTTACTCAGATGTTACAATCTTCCAAAGCAGACGCTTGTGGAGATGGTATGGCCTGACTGCCCCACTCACCAACAGTGCATTTGCTGCAGGCCAGCAGCATGCTGTGAGCAGCGTGCACACCAGCCTCTCTGATACCACGATCAAATCCACGGCTGCCGGCCAGTAAAAGTGAGGCCAGACCTAGTCAGACCCACCCCCCTCCCACTTGAGAATGCTCTTGGCATTCTAAAGGCAATGTTTGGTTTCCTATCCCATTGACTGGTGGAAGCTGGAGTCTAACCTTGCAGGTATCACATCGTCACACCTGGTGTTTCCTAATCTCGTGAGATGTTGGCACACACTGCGGCTGGCTTTGGAAATGCAGATTCGATGAGCAGCACTTCGTGAGGCACACTGAGCAAGCAGCCCCACACCACCCCTCCCCCGGCCCCACCCGCCTCCTAAAGCTGCATCTCAGAAGGGATGCTGAGAGCAGGCAGCACCAGTCAGGCCTAGGTAGACCGTTGCACCCTTTGCTACAGAAATTCAGACGCATCTTTGGTCTTGTTGGTTTTGCAGCCAGAAGCACCAGGCTATTTCTCGAGGTGCGTATTTCATGTACTTGTAGCTGCATCTGGCATGTATCTGGGGGGTTCTGGATCTTTGAAAGCAAAGTGTTTTCCTGAAAGAGTTTATCAATTGTTAACTTCAAGAATAATACTGATTATAATAAAGCCCCTGCATTTCTTCTCATGGTTTGATTTTCCTTATATTTCAGAGATTTCTCTTTTACATTTTACTAGGGTTGCTAGATGGTTTCTATAGAAATAAGAACATTCATGCGTGATGGGTATTTACACAAATTCTGTCCCAGACACAAAGTCAGAGCATTGGACATGTAGCACCTCAAGTCTAATCATTCACTTTAAAATGTCCTAAAATGGTAAAAAGGCAGTTGATTAAAACATCTTACTTGGGCCTAGCAGCTGGCCCTGTGCTAGGTGTCCTTTGGGAACAGACTTAGGAAGGAATTATGAGCAGGAATCCCAGGGGTGGCTGTGAGCAGCTTTTGACAAACAAGACGTCTGCCTTTCTCCAAAGGTCTCCTGTAAGCTGTATGAGTAGGATACAAAAATAATCACAGCTCTTCAACCTCAAGATCCAGAATCAGGTCACGGATTTGCACGAGGTGGGGGGGACCCTGGGGTTTTCTCACCCAGTACCCTGTTGGTCAGGTGAGGACCTGGGGTGTGTTCCGCCCTGGAATGCTGACTCACATGCACACAAGCATACGCCCAAAGCAGAACAGAACTGCCTCCCGTCCTTGGTCTAGGTTCTTTCACATGCCTGGTGTGGACACATGTGAGCCTGTGTGTGCATCAGGGAGCAGAACTGCAGGGTGTGGCAGGCCCGCAACCTGAACAAGAACCAGCCAGCCATAGAAACGCTGCACTTAGGCACCTTGAGAAAGGGCAGGGCTGTGGGGAGGGTCTGCGTGGAGAGGGGAGATGGCGCCAGCCCCAGCAGGTTTTTAATTGATTAATTATTTTTGAAACATCTGCCACCTGCCTCGGTGGCCTGGGGTGCTCTTCTGCTGTTCTGCAGCTTTTTCTAACTTCACAGCTGCCATGCTGCTTAAATGCTTCTTATAAACCCAGAGTAAATCTTTTCCCCCCAAGACCTAGCATCCTGCTGGCCTTTGCAGTATAAAAACAACAACAAAAAGTCATTGCATAACCATCCCAGGGGGCATCTGTAGCCATATGCTCTTGAAAAACAAAGGGGGTGAGTGGATGGTGACAGTTAACCAGGAAACTTCGAGCACTTGGAATATCCTCCATATTTGTATTAGCCAGGGTCCTCTGGAGAAACAGCCAATAGCATTTGAGTAGTAGATATATAGGTAAGTAGGTAAGCAGATAATTTGTTCTAAGGACTGGCTCACGTGATTGTGGAAGCTAGCAGGCCAGAGAAGAGCCAGTGTCGCACTTCAAGTCCAAAGGCATCTGCAGGCAGAATTTCCTTGTTACTCAGGAACTGGGGCAGGAAGAACGTCTTTGTTCTATGAAAGGCCATCAACTGTTTTGAGGGGGTCCACCCACATTATGGAGGGCATTGTACTTCACTCAAAGTCCATTGATTTAAGTATGAATGTCAACCAAAAACACCCTCATGGAAACATTTAGAATAATATTGGACCAACTATCGTCTCTGTGACCTAGCCTAGTTGACGCATGAAATGAGCCATCATCACACGGTTCATTGCAGTTAATTGTCATGAGACCCTCAGCACCTGGGATCTGTTTTCACTTTGACTATGTGGAAGCATCTGTACGTCTTACAACATTTTGTCTAACATTTAACTTCCTCTTCCCCAAACACTTAAAATTTGATTAAGAGGGCCTGTAATAAAATAAATTTTTAAAATATTTTTCTCATCCTCCCCTATAGTCCTACGTATTATAAATTCAACAGCCATGCTTTCAAAAAAAATCCAATTTGTCAACTGGAAAAGACCCAACATGATATAATCTGGAGGATTTGGAACTGTACCCAGAAGCCCTGAATGAGCTTTTTGATTACATTTCAGCATTGTCATTCTGTGCTGCGGAGGGTCACCTGAAATAGTCCAACTTTTTGTAGCACAAAGGCTCAGTTTTTGCACAAATTGCCAGACACCCGCTTGAGTCACTGTTCACATAGAGATGGTTTGAGAACATGGAATGTGCTTCGAGTTCTAATAATGATCTTCATTATCTCCACGGCAGTGCTTTCTACCTGGGGGTGATGTTACCCCCCATAGAACATTTGGCAATGTCTGGAGACATCTTTAGTTGTCACCACCAAGGACTGGGAGGAATGCTAGTGGGCAGCATCTGCTGAACAGAGTCCAGGTGCTAAAAATCTTACAGTCCTCAAGACAACAGCCACCACAAAGAATTAGCCAGACCAAAATTGTTGACAGTGTTAAGGCTCAGAAACTTTAATAGTCCTGTTCTAGAAGTCCATGACATACAATAATGCACTAAACAATTAAAGGCTAATTCCCCTCATGCCGGATTCTTGTGGGGAAAAAATAATATATGTATTTCAGTGGTGAGGACACTGGAGTGGAAGCAACTAAAACAACTCAAGCTGTGTCTGCATTTCAGTCCCTGGAGCAGAAAATAGCAAATTGCTATGATGCAGATTTGCTCCTCGATGCAATGGAAATTTTTAGACAAAGCAAGCCTTTTCCTTCAGGGAGGCGTGCAACAGTTCTATAGCATCATATTTGTTTTCTCAGTCACCGATACGAAGAAGAGTGGAGATAAATGTCCCCCCGTGGCCTCCCCAACACACCCACCTAGACAGGCACAACAAACACACAGGTTTTTGTCTCAGCTACTTAAATATTCTCCAAAGAAGGACTAGAAATCTCTTTCCAAATGATTACAGCCTGTTTTCCAAAATGGACCGTGTGTCTCAAGCCGATTAACCTCGGGGTTAACAGAAGATAACCCTGTCTTAAGTATTATTTTGTAATTAGTTTCGTAAGTGAAAAACAAAGGAGAAAAATGGGTGTCTCTCTGCAGCTAAGCATGGGCCGAAGGGCAATGAAACGTGTGTAAGTAAAGATTTTCATACCAGAGAATCAGTTCACCTTGCATTCCTGTCTCCCAGTACAGCCTCCCTCACCCCCAAGCACTCCTCCACAAATCCATGTTTCCATCACAGAAGAAGGAAAAAAAGGCTAGCTGTGGACTCTTGAAGAACAGGGTCATTTCTTAAAGCCCTGGCACTTCCCCATCGCCCTCGCTACCTAGATTGTAGACTTCGGATACTAACATCCTTTGTATCCCTCAGACACTGAATATGTTTGATGCAGCTTCTAGCTGCAACATGTACCACTAGATGACATCACAAGGGACCAAAACAACACTTTAGAGCATGAGATGAAACAGAAGTTTGCAAAAGTCACGTGCTTTGTCAAAATTTTCTGCCTTCAGTGCCAATGATGCCTCTGCCTCAGTATGTCAGTTGGCTAGAAACTTTCAGGTTCAGTCACTTCTGAAAAGCACAATTTTAAGGGTGCTGTCACCAACTGGGGAAGCCATGTGACTACAAAAGTCATTTGGAATAAATGAGCCCCACTTTCAGTTAGGTTCAACTCTTCCTAATTCTGATCACCAAAAATAACAAGTATGAGATGTTGTACCATAGCAGAACCAAAAGGGCAAACAGGAGACGAGAGTAGTGTGGGTGGGCATCTGTCCTCGCCTGATGGGACCAGGGTGAGAAACTCACATCCTGACATGTGCCTCCTCTCAGACAGTAAGTGTAAAAGTGGGCTTAAGAAGACAGATTTAGGAGTAGAAAGACTCTTGGAACAAAAATAACAATAACTGCCTCCCTCCAAGAAAAGCCTACAAAAACAAAACCCAGGACACAGTGTTTGGAGTAAGCAGAAGTCAGATTTCCATGAAGCACAAAAAGAAAATCCCCTCAAATGACATACAATGTCAAGTCACAGATACTTAAAAGCCCCAAGATGATACTAAGCCCATCACGACAAATTAAAATAGCTAATGAAATCCCTCATGTATTTATTGCTTGGGTTTCACAGCTAAAGTTTTTTTCGGGCCTTAATACTAATTTTTTTCAACTTTACATTATTTAACTGTCCTTATAGAGCCTTTTGGCATATCAAAAGGACCCCCAAAGAAAGTTATCCTAGGAAACAACAAAACCGAAAGATCATTACTTTGAGGCACAAAACTGTTGCAGTGTCTAAAAAAGAGAGTTGGCATTAGTTTGATAAATAAGTATTTTCCGCAGGAACAATTAGATAACCTGAATATAAGACAATGATAAATGGGCATTTATTAATTAATACTATGCTTAAACTATAGAAAGTTAACCAGAGTTACACAGTTTTTCATGAATTGCAAAGGCATTAAAGTTGACAGATTTCCCACAGGAGGAGATTCTGGACCTAAATCACTATCATCATCACTACCACCGCCACCATATCACCACCACCACCATCACCACCATCACCATCATCACTATCACCGATGACCATCGTCATCGTCACTTTAACCATCATCACCACCGTCATTGTGACCGTCATCATCACCACCGTCACCACCATCGCCATCACTATCATCACAATCGTCAATCACCACCATCATCATCACTTTAACTATCATCACCACCGCCATCATCAGCATCACCGCCATTATCATTTTCCTTCTCATATTTATTAAGCAGTTAACGATGTGCCAGTCACTCACAGCAACTCTACTTGCGAGACATTGTTATTGCTGTTATACAGATGAAGAAACAGTCTTAATGCGGTAAACTAATTTACTTAGCTAGTAGGTGGCACTTTATTGTCATTTCCACATTCAGTTCATCCCCTACCCATCTAATTATCATCCCTACTCTGACCCACCGGGCCATCTCTGGTGCCTTCCGTCTTTTGAAGAACTCAGACAGTCTTCAGCCTCCATGGCTCTCCTCAACCAGCAGAAGTTATCCCAGGTGACAGCAGGGCCCCCAGAGGTGGAGGAACAACAAAGTCCTCTGGTTGCCGAACAATTAGATTAGAGCTTCAGAGAAGTTTGGGTCCTGCTTATGTAATGTAGCCCCAATAAAAACTCTGAACATTGATGCACAAGCGAGCTTCCCTGATGGGCAGCACTTCATAGATACTGTCACACATTGATGGCAGGAGGGCGATGCATCCTCAGGACAATGG